GACATGTTTAACGCTAATGAATTTGTGCGACGAATGTAGCGTGAAAGAGCGAGTGAGCTCCGGATTTGTCGAACGGGAAGCGCGTTCACCATAAGCATTTTCAAAAGCATAAAGATAATGTTACGACTAAACACTCCGATGATTCGATCATATGTCGGAAGGAACAATGACCGTGAGTGAATTACAAAAATATTACCCCCGATCGAGATGCAACAGTAAACTCTGTTTTAGTTTCTAACGTGGCACGAAAATAAAAAAAATTCCCTTGGGTTAGCTTATCACCAAAATCGATGACAAAAAAATAGTTTATAATTTGAGCCATTCTCACATATCAAGGCAGCGGTGTAAAAATTTTACCATCACGTACGCTATGCGTGCGTTTCAATTTTGGTCTCTTTGCCCTACATGACATCACACGATTGACCCAACATACACTACACTGTATCTAAAGAAAAAATAAAAAGAACATAAATACATGACTCTTACCGGCTGGACTACGTATCCGCTCATAGTGATACGGATTGACGCAGACACTCTCGTACTTCAGATCATAGCCGTATCGACAGAATTCTAGATGTTTCATCTCCATCTTTTGAATGTCGGGCCATCGCCATAGTCGAGCGTAAATCACATGCGGAAAGCCTTTGCGCTCACAAACTTGAAGTCTGCCATCTAAAGTTCTCTGAATCGTGACGCATTTTGACGACTTGGATCCTTTGGTCGTAATAGCAGTGATAAGGGAGTCGAGCTCTTCTGATTTCTTTCTGAGCTTTTTCACCAGAGATTCGATGGCTCTCTTTGCGAATTTCTCAGTTTCGCCTCCTTGGCGATGGCAAGTTGTATGACACATTAAATTCAACACAATACTTAGATTCGCATCGGCAGAGCTCGGACCTCTTTTCGGGGAAGCCGATTGCACTAAGCTTTTCTCCATTCCCCTCTCCCTGGATAGTCCTCATTTCATCGTCGATAGTTCAAAATTCAAGAAGGTTCCGTCCCCCAAAGTCCCACTATCTTGAACGTTCCTTCCAAACAACACCATATGCGCAGAACATGTTCAGATTCAATCTACTATGGTCATGTCATGGTGAGTCTCTTGCCCAATCACATCGCTCAGAAAACGATAGCAATTAATCCTTACACGCGTTCCTGTCAATCAAAATGACTGACAGGAAATGGTAAACAATGTATTTTCATGTTTGGTTACTTTCAAAGCGAAGGACATGGAAGAAAGTAGGAAATCCGATGGCAATAATAATATTACCGGGTGACACGTTTCTTAATGACAATTGTCCAAATAGAATAAGCTGATGTTTGTTCAGACCAAACGAGTTTTCACGGATAGACTGCGTCACAGCACGTTTTCACAAACGCAAAATTCTCTGTTTTTTTTGGTGATACGCAATTACAAAGCATAAGTTCATCACCTCCCACTCGTTTTGAAATAAGACCTTGCCTGAATTAAATAAGTCACGTTTAACCTTAAAATTTTAAAGCTGTTGCATAATGGCAAACTGTGGAATACATGTTCAGTTGCCAAGCGAGGAAAAAGGGATAATTTTTATGCGATAACAATGAACATTTAAATTTTTTAAGACAATGTTAGACACGTATTTCTATCTCTTTCCCTAAATTCGGCTGGCGCCAAGAAATGTGAGAAATAAGTTGTCATGGTAGTATTTAGGATAATTTGTTCAGTCGCCCACGCATTCTCTCTTTGTCCATTTAATCAACGTAAGCTGGAAGATTATTGGAATAACAATTACGGTGCTCTTGGTGAGAGCTGAAGCAATATAAATTAACTAGGAATTACAGGAAAAGAAGTAATTCTTTTGAATTTCAGTGCAATATCGGCTCCTCTGTCTCTATACAGGAAAGTGAATTTTTCCCCATTCATCAGTTCACCAATGAGTCGCCTAAATCCTCAAGGTGACTCTTGAAGAAATATAAATTTGTTTGTCCCAGAGCTAAATTCTTATCTACGAAACGAAAATCAAACTGGCCTATCTGTCTCTCTATATTTGTTTCACCTGCATGTGTTAAATTACGCGGTATTTTTACACGCAATAATTCTTCGGGGCCAAAAGAAAACATTTCGTGCTCATTGAAAGTTTTTTTTCAGGTATGAAGATAATAAATTTAAGCCTGTCACGCGAACTGTGGCGTAAGCACGTTCGCGACGTTTTCAATCGCCGACTGAAAATTACTCTAAGTCAAATTTGTGTTCTTTAATCGCGTTTTTGGGTGGTTCAATGACTGTTCCGACTCCTAACGTCTAGCCGTCTTGTTTGTCTGTCTGGAATTTGAGTATGTCTACTTTTCGGCCATGTTTTCGTCTCGCTCGGTGGGGGACTTAGAAGAATATGTCTGCACAGCTCCGCGGCTTGCGCTTGGGAAGCTGCAACCAACAATACTTAAAAAAAAGGAAAACACAGATTGAACCCCGTAAAATGCATTATTAGCTAGCACGCTGGGCCTTTGTTTGCGTAAGGGAGGCGCCCACTCGGCAAATCAGCAAGTATCAACATCCACAAATGGTTTGGGACAAAATAATTTATTGGGGAAGTGAATATGGCGGAGCTTTACAGGCGTGCTTAATATCAGCGCCCATTCTTTTTCTGCATGCTTCTAGCCATAAACTCGACAAGTCGTCTACCTTGATGGTATTGTTTTGCTTGTACCACGTACACCGGAAGGGAACATTTCCGGTGTTGCGTAACTGGACCTTGGAAGATGAAAAGCCCTGGAATGCGGCCCAAATGTCGCTTTACAAGTAGTACAACAAATGCATTTGAAGACCCATGATGACTCAATATAAACACATCGTTGATTACTTATACTGGAAAAAGGGAAAAAATTGATTTAAGTATGCTAACTTGAGTTTGAGTTTCAATTGTGTGGAACTCGACATGTTATTTCTACTCTTGCATCTCGGCAAGTTTTACTCAATTCCTTTTTTTTGCCTTCATTATTCAAGATGCAATAGTGAGAATAAATAATTGCACTAGAAAAAGCAACATTTTAAATTTCTTTGAATTTGCAAATTATAACAATTTGCTTTCGAATGAAAATTAGCGAAAACAAAGAGGAGGCAAATTTAACGATCCGATTTTCCGAATTCTCCAGTCCCTGCAACAACAACAAAATACAAAAAAACACCATTGCTTCATGACCACCAGCAGCATAGGAAACTATTTCACAAGAATAACAGTTTGTTCTGCTCAGCGTGCAGCATCACCCACATCCCTGCATGATATGCTCTCCATTGTAACTCAGAGATACTTCAATTACAAGACTGCTTTTCACTTTCCAGAATACCTCTTAAAACTGGTTAAAATCAATGCCATTTTCTAAAAAACGAGGGGCAAATGAACAAAAACGAACTCTTGTAACATCCTCTGAATGTAACGACTTCATCAACAAAATCAAATCTCACGGGGCATACTAATGATATATATATTATGGAAAGATTTTTTTTTTGGACTTTGCTTATTTTAAAAAACTTATTTTGAAAATAAAACACCAATTCATCAAAATAATTAATTAGCAAATATTTTTCGAGTCCATTAGGTGTCAGTAACGAAAACAGCAATGACTTTCCTAAATTTTTCTCCGACCTTGAGCAGGTGACATAATTGTAAAAACAAAAAGATTCAAATGCTCGAATAAAACTTTTATGCGATCCGGCGATAAACACGTTTTGTAAAAGTTTAAAGAATTTAAAGAAATTTCAATATTCTCTTTGCAGCGCGAAGCAGAAAATAGTCCTTTTGATTTGAAAATGGCTGTTGAACCTTTTATGGCAAAGTGAACTAGTATCATCCTTGTCGGAAGTTTTTGTGAAAATGTCAGAGAATGCTGCAAAATAACATCACAGACCAATCATTGATTTCATGGCGAAGTGGTCGGTGTTCCCTCAATATTTTAGCGAGTAACGTCCGTTAGAGACATGACAGCACTAATTACATTCCCTGACTTTTTCCACAAAGCTTTGCTCCTCTTTCTGACTTGTCAGAGATAATAGGAATGAATGCATGGCGACATCTTGTCCTAAACAACAACATGCTCCCTCGTCAACGGGGCGCCACAAAATTTAAGTTTGTCAAATATCGCTCTTCTTCAAATAGGAACACCTGCTCCCTGACACGAAGGTCTACGGAGAGGAAATAGGCGGTCAACTTTTGCGTAGGATTGGCGGGCAACTTTCCCATAGTTCTTACATCACGTCCCATTAAATTGCTTTATGAAAAATCCATGTTTTTTTTGTCACGGAATTTCTCTCAAACTCCCTTTCCTTTGATTAACGCTTGTTTAGTTCCATTTGCGATTTAGCAAAGTAATTAACGAGGAGCTTTTCACGAAACGGAATTTATTATCACCACAAAGTTGCAAGAGTACTTTGGTCCGCCTGCGGCAATTAATGTTGTACTCGAAAACCACGCAGAACCAATAACTTAGTGTCGTGAACGTTTTAAAACACACCATTAAGAGAAAAAGCTCTTATCCTAAACGAAAATTTGTGGAATCGTAAAGTATAATGCGGAGCGCCACAAAAACGGAGAGAAAATTCTAATCCGCTTTTTAAAACCAGCCAAGTACGTGCCGACCACTAAGGAGGAACAAACTAATGTAACATTCGCGTGATGCTGGCTTTACAAAGGTCACTTTACACAGGTCACTTTACACAGGTCACTTTACACAAGTATCAAACAGCCCTTTCATAAATTATTATCATTTTCTTAACTCAAAATTAAAAACAACCTCCAGTTGCTAGGTTTAAGTTTGTTATTCTCTCAGGTGCCTTCGAGGCCGCTCGCCCTCAATTATCCCCTTCATGTCGCCGATATTGTTAGCGATCTCAAAATCACAAGAATTAATTAAAATTTTAATGCTATATTTTAACAAAGGCTTTAACGCCTAGAAGGGGTTTTGAGGAATCACACCAGCCAACCATGATTCTAGTTTGTCAAAAATGCGCTGTCTCAAAACACTGTCAAGCAGTTTTTAAGCGTCTTTATTTATTCTTCATTTTCAATAAAACTTCACTTCAGGCAATACCGTAATATGTACACTACATTTCATGTTTCACGCATTCGGCGCGTGTAAAATTTTTAAAAAACTCTGAACAATTTTGGGACTATAATTATTGTCATTATTAAGCTGCACTTCAGGGCAAACAAAAAAAAAGAAAGAAACCAAAAAACCAAAAAAACAAAAAAACGAAAAAAGGCAAGCAATTTTAATGAGTTCACTGAATGGACTAATTTCTGAGACATTTTTAACTTTTGCGGTTTGACTTCCCTGTGTTAGAAAAAATGCGAACTAAAACTTTATTTCTTAATTATACAGCGTACAATCGATGTATATATTTATATATATATATATTCCTCACAGTCTTAATGAGTAAGAAATTAAAGGATTTGAACCGGCCAAAAACTGTAGAACATTCCGTCAAGGGAAACACGTTAAATAAATAACGATAAATAAATTTCTGGTTGAAACACAAAATGTCTTCGCGTTAGTTCATCCATTTGCGGCAATTTGGGGCACCGCAAAGGCATGGAATCTTGTTTTCTTCATCTTCAAAGTCGAACTTGTAGTCATACGTGAGCTGCAAAAGAAAACGATGAGTAAATAAACTTCACGCACAACGAAACATCTGAGGTACGAATCCAATTCATCTGGGAAACTCCTTTAAATATGAAATTTTTAAAGGAAACGTACGAAGTATAAAAATTTTTGTTTGGTTCAAATCACCCGTACATAATACTATCGAAAGTTCACTTATGATTCTGGGAAGCATTATCGTCGGTTTCAATACAGCGAAAAACCGCTAAGGAAACGTGACATACTTAAGTTTGTAAGGTACTTGAGGGAAATTGATGTCAAAGTCGGCGTAACCATTGAAGATAGCTTTAATAGGCTATATTTATTTAAAGGCGTTTCCCAATTTGTTTATATTTTCAGTTCCAAAAGCACGATGACATGTTGAAGGAAAGCAAGAGCGATATTGAAACACTAACCACAATATTTCTCAAACTCGTGTGAAACTCTTCATAATTAATACATTTTCAAAAATAAAATCTTTTGGCGAGTTAATCTTCGTTTTTCTATCAATGATATTTTTCAAAGTTTCTCAAAAGTGCTCACAATTTCAAATAAACCCAATTAATCATCTTAAACTAGAAGCTTTTTCTCGTCAGTTTTTTCAAGTTTAACGGTAAATAGTGAATTCAACATCGACCTACACACCCGGACATGTAAAACAGCTGCACTCAAGTGAAGAGCTTCGAACAATGACATTGTATAAAGTAGATATACCATCAACGAGATTACAACATTACCTCTTCTCCTTTTTCAACCTTCCTGTTGGAGATAATAATAATCTTTTGCTCCTTTTCAAACGTTACAACTTCAGCAACACAGTTTGGCTACGGGAAAAAAAACAAAATACTGCCATGAGAAAAGCTGACTCAACACTTTCAAGTCAACTTAAGAAGTTTGCGTTTAATCATTTTCCGATCCTCGAATTAGGAATGTGTTAAACCTATCTTGGACATTTGTGCCATAATTTGACGTTGTCTCATTTTCCAACAATATCTTACAGTGAGTGCAGTTTGGTGTTTCTCTCGCTAGCCGGAGAAATGACGTAAAAAAAGAGCCTTGGAGCGATTTTTCCGGTAACCAGAAATCAAGCGTAGTTTAATCCACACTGAAGTCCAAAAATCTTTGTCCGTTGCAGCTTTTTGCATTCAAGTATAATCCGCGTTCCTTTTCGGCTGAATCATACCTCTCGGAGATGTGCTACCTTAGCAAACTATAATGTCAGGGCTCATTCGACAAAGGCCACTTCAACTGAGTTCTAAACGACCAAGGCCAAAATGAACCCACAGCAAATCACAACCGAGGTTAAAATCTGACTGGTTGTTTTGTTTGTAGAGCACATTCTCACAGGTGCGCAAAAAGGTTCGGTGCGGAGCAAAAAAATGATTCACACTGCTGGGGGTCGAGACGCCACAAGATCGTTAGTGATCTGAAATGATTAAATCTGTAAAATTCAGACAAACTTGTAACTTACCATACAGGAGTGGTTGATGTAACGTGCTGGTCCGCCGGCCATCGTGGCATCTATGACTGCGTCGGAGTCTATTCTGAACATATACACACCACGATTCTACAACAAATAGAGATGACAAACTGCTTAGTTTTGGTTCACAAGGATCTTTAACCCATATTCCTCAAGTTACATACTTGGAAAACACACTAGGAAAGAGAAAACTGTCTCAAAAATAGAGGTTTCCCTTCAGAGAAGTTAGCAGATAAAAAGTCTTAGGAAACGTGTTCATCTTTGACTCCTGAGACTGACTAGCATCTAATATCTCCTTACAGTTTCACCCCTGAATCGCACATCAAGGAAACATGGATAAAGGAATGATCATCCACTAAAGAAGCCCTCGATTGCTAAACAAATTCTTTTTGTCAGCACCTGAAGAAATGTATAAAGAACAGTAGGAAGAATTTGCATACCGATTTCAGGGTGTAAAGGGTTTAGAAGCACTTCGGTGATGATGTGACGTGCAACACGATGACGTCAAAAGCCGTCCTACACATAATAATAAAAAACCTTACCTGCTTTTCGTAAATTTGCTCTCTTCTGTTTGCGACTTCGTTTCGAATAATAGAACCAATGTATTCGATCACCATGCTTCCCTGTCGAAGACAAACAACATTGTAATTAGTATCAAAGTTTGTACAAAAGATAGCTATGTCATTCAGCTCTGATGGAAACAAAGATTTAACTAACCGCTTCCATGTCCTTGTTTGCAAACAGCCCTAAGCCCTGAAATAGGAAAAAATACCAACTCTAATTATCTGTGTGTCATTGTTAGATTTTAAGTGCAACCGCGTCAAAAGAGACCACTTAGAACCGATCATAACAGAGGCTCGCAGGTTAAGATTCATCAGGAGTTCAAATAATTTTTGTCCATTCCGTAAATTTCGTCCTGGCGGTCTTCTTCAACCCTTTTACAAACTAGTGGGCTGCACTGCACGAACTTAAATAATAGAAACCTGTTTAAATCTCCTGTGCGTTGCGTCTGACTATAGCAAACTTCCACATGGAGTTTTTACAAGGAGGGTAAATAGGCTTGCTTAGATTCAAATAGTAAATGCGATATCTATTTTCGACCATTACACATAGTGTAAAGCAAGCAGAAAGTATTCGCAAGGTGTGACAAAGGTGTTGTACGGGCATTTTGCAGACGTTGCATGTACGAGAAAGTGGTGTGCCTCAGGTTCACAGATTTAGTTCTTAATCTTAATTATTATTTGAAAATGATATATCTGTTAGGTGGATACATCATAAAAGAGAGGTTCCAACGTATATCGTGCTCACGACTATGGGACCGTTGCAATGTTTATATTTTTTTTACCGCAACAGTGAATCGTCGGTGAATATTTCTTACTTGAATATTCGACCTTCCCAGGAACACATTGGTTTTCCATTCTGTTTTAAGCTTGCGGTATTGTGTAGCCTTGGAGTAGACAAACTGTTTGAGGTACAATCCGGATGACTCTTCTGAGTTTCCTGCTCCACCAACAGTGGCCGCGGGCGACACTGCTGAACCAGAACTTGTGGCAGATCGAAGGGCACGTGCTCTGAAACGACAGAAATGTATAAGATATCAACACACATATCTTTTCTTCTTCGAATCGTAAGGCCTCCAACTCCCAGAGGTAACTGACGCAGGGATCAGCTATTAACGTATCATAGAAGGAACAAGTTTAAAATGATCTCAGAAATATAGGATCGCTTCAGTTTTGCTTCAATTCGCTCTGTGATTGGTCCACAAAAATTCACACCACATCCTCAACCAATCAGATGCAAAACTAAAACCACCCGCGACTTAGTCGCCCGCGATTTCCCGCGCTTTCCCGCGCTTTAGGCCGCTGAGTTGTTTCTACTTTGAGTTCTTATTAGCTCTTAAGAGCATTTTCCTTTCCTCAAATTGGTCTTTATGATTAATTTGGTTTGGGTTTGATCGAAAAGCGCTCTTGGGAAAATACTGGCATGACATAGAGTAAAATAATTAAGGTTTTAACCGCAGGAACCCTCTTGGTGTCCCGAGGTAGGTCCTTGTACCTTGCGCTCTTGAAGTGCGACTTCAGCAGGGGCTCGGATCTAGCACTGCCCGTGGGGTTTACCGCCAGCGGCAGCTCCATGATGGGTGACGGGCCATAACGCATGTTATATCCCTGCATTTGATCAACACCAGGCATCTAAAAACACGTGTATAAAAGTAAAACATGGTTAACAACAGTGAAAACTGTACTATACTGACAGCTCAGGGACTCTCGCTTGTGACCAACAGAATACATTAAAAAAAAAAAAAAAAAAGAAACAACAACTGCAATTCGAACCAATGCTACCTTCAACTGAAAGCCATACTCAATAACAGGATCATGAAAATGCTACTGGATACTAAATCATCTCAGGGTCTGGTCCCTTACGCTCCGTATTAAAATAATAAAAAATAAAAAAAAAAAAAAAGAAAGAAAAAAAACCAGGTAGACAATTAAGCTCCTCACCGACTCGATGATCCGCAGAACATACTGCTCCGACAAACCAAACAGATCCTAAAATGAGAGAGAAAGTCAATGTTTTGAGTAACAGATAAGAGAAGGACCTCAAGTTTGTATCCATGAGTTCCACAGTCAAGCAAAATCGGACAGCAAGAGACATGACGATTTTACCCAATAATAAATCCCTTCTTAACTCACCTCGCCAGTGATGTACTGAGGGAACAGGTTCACTAAACCAGCTTCTTTCCTCATTTTCAAAATAGGAACAAGAATCTGCTGCCACACATCTGTTTAGAAAAAACAATGGAAAAAAGGTCTTATCATGTCAATATTTCAGATCGCCAGATATTTGAAATTAAGAAAACAGCAAATACTGTTTCATCATTGATATGTTTTTGCTAAGAGGTAAAAAAAACTATGCCCACTTGGTACCCTGTTAAGCCTTTAACTCCAGAAGTGATTACGATTTTAACATCTATACATTATCCAGCCATCAGGAAATGAGAATACTCAAACTTATCAGGTAGAAGTTGTTTTCTTGATCTAACACCAAATCAGTTCTCCCTACTAATTATCAAGGAAATGTATCGCAGCTTGAAGGGAGAATTAACAATCAGATCTTGGGAGTGAAAGGGTGTGGTGTAAGGTTTCCAATTTACCTCTGGGTGTTTTTCCTCTGAACACCGGTTGCTCATTGTGTCCGTCGTCATCAACCCTGATGGTAAAACTTGGCGAACCTTCCGCGTCTTCAACCACACAGTGATATTTACAGCGGCGATTCACAGAGTGCATGCTCCAGTAGAAACGGATTGTTTTGAAACCAACCTGAGGCAACAAGTCTGAGTAAGTATTAAGCGAAGAGCACTCTGACTAATGTTCGCAAATTAAATTGAAACAAGAATCGGACTAAAAAATAGTTAAATAAACAGAGAGAAAAGAAAGGCGACGGGCATTTTGATAAATGACATATCACTTACCGGATACACGGCGTCTCTAGTGTGGAACGACTGTAGCTGATGAGGCAAAAGTTGTCCCAACGATTTCACCACCAAGCTTCCCACGCGTAATGTCTGTGGCTTGTCGCTGGTCTCTTGATTGTGACGTAACATACTAACAGGAAAAAGGACGCAGGTCAGAGGGCGAATAGGGTTGGAGGGGGAGGGGGGAGGAGGGAGGAGGAAGGAAAGGGGGAAGAGAGGGGAGCAGGCAGCGTATTTAGATTAAGTTTTGTAAAACAAAACCACAAGAAATTACAACAGCTGATCAGAGCAAAGGAAACTAGAAAATAATCCTCTGGTGACTCGACATGAACATACGAAAATTGCCTGAACCGCGGACAAACGTGAGCGACGAAGTTTGGCCACGGAAAGGCTGAGAAGGAGGCGCAAGTTTTCTGGACCAATCACAAAGCTTAGTTAAATCAAACCAATGAAATCCGAGATTGCTGTTGACAATGTTTTTACAGTAAAAGTGCCTATAAGTATTGGAACGATAACTACTCTTTCAAGAAGAGTATGAATACAAAGAATCTTCAAAGACGCTTCTTAACTTTACGAACAACCAGCCGAGTTTCGGCAACAAAATTTTGACCCATCAGTAATGCTTCAACTTAAAAAATCTGACTTGCTAGAAAACATTCTCCTCATTGAGCTTACCTGGCGATCTGTTGAATCTCGTCCCTGTTCACATAAACTTTTCTAAACACGGCATAGGTGGTGAGTACATGGTCTCCGAGCGATGCAGCTTCTGGTCTATGTTCATGACACAGCATGGTCTGGCAACAGGGAAATGAGCAAAATAAAGACACAATTTAACGCAGCTGTTGAGGATCTTTTGCTAAATTAACCACTATGTCGTGTAAGAACCGACTCCTTCAACTGTTTAAGTCATTTAAAAGTCTGTGGAACCAACAAATCAATGAACTTTGTAACCACTCGCGAAATCCTTCTTGGACATTCTAAGTACAGAACATACGCCTACCTTGTCCTTTAGGAACAAACAACCTTTAGAGATAGCACAACTGAAGTGATAATTGTTTGGGCAGCCGATCTTGGACAGGCCAATCTTCTGCTTACACGACACTGTAGCGCCTCTTTTATAGCAAACCACACAATTCTGTTTAAAAAAGGAAATGCATTAGCAGTTATGGCTTCAGTAACGAAACTGATTTCTGGTGATGAACCATTCCTGATTTTATCAGTCCTGACATTTGTCCACTTGGAGAACGGAATAAAGGAGGTTAAGTTATCTTCAAGAAAACCCCTTTAACCCTTTAAAACCTAACATCAGTATAAATTTTCTCTATAATGTCCTCTATAAATTTCCTAAGACGCTGATAAGGAGAACGTCTTACATAATCAAGAACTTCCTCAGTTGGTGATCACATCCTTTTTTCTTGTAACCTGAATGTGTGATTCAGGGATGATGTTGTCAGGAGAAATTAGATACTGGTCACTCTGATTTTCTTTTGCCCTGCAGTTCACGACACTTACCGTAACAGTTCCTCGCTTCACAGCCACTTCGACATTCATCAATGCGCCATTTAGCGTTTCGTAAACTTCCAAGGACCAGAGAGCACAGTTGAGATGGACCCACACGTCTACATTCAGATTCAGCAGCCTGAAAAGGTAAAACTCATTAGTATCATCGTTACCTTTAACTACCACGTCACTCGTCCATAACTTTAAAATAGCTCTCTCCGTTTCGCTTCGCGTTGTAACCACAATCGACACATCTGTTCCCATACAGTTGTTTCTTAGCCCCAGTTACTAATCAGGCCAAGGATGGAGGATGGAATGTAAGTCAAAAGCCAGCAGAATATCCTTACCGGGCTGATGCATTGTTATCACCGTCTCCTTTCGCACCGCAAAGAGTGCACCTCCTAAGGTCATCCACTGCATTGGCAGGGGGCTTCAGTGATCCGTTGTGTTTCTCCAAAAGCTACAAAATAACCAGAACCCAGATTGTAAGGGGCGGTTACAGAACGGAGTTCCAAGGCAATGATACCTTTACGTACCTCAGCTGATTCCTCTGGTGTCAACTCTATCCGTTGTTTGTTGTCGCTCTTAGCTTCCTCGCTCTGTTGCCATCTTTTCCACCGCAACCGACGCTGTCGCTTAGAAATCTTCGCCTGCAAACAGAGCAGCCCAAATTATTCTCACGAAAAGTGGGGCCCAAGATAGAGTCAACCCTGCCCAAAGGACATACTTTGACCACTCCAATATTCCAGGAACAAAATGGTAACATAAATAAGCAACAGCTCAAAATATTTTGTACACAACTCAACTTACCTCTTCATCTTCGTCTTCATCCTTCCAGCTGGGACTGCGTATTTTTCGTACAGATGTCGGCGGTAATCCATCAGCCACGAGGCTCCCCCGTGTCTCCACATCACTCACTGTCGTTACGTTCCCGACTCCGATACTTGGCTGACCAACTGACGTCACAGTAGCTTCTAAAGGAGGATCTCCAACAATGAGGTCTGGTTTGCATTCCCGAGTGGGCGAGGAACACGCGGATCCGAAATGCGCGAAATATTGTTTTAAGCAAGCTTCCGAACAGAAAATGTCCCCTGTACAGTCGCCAGCTTCGACATTGACTCCGTAGATTTTATAGTCTGCAGCATCAGGTTGTGTCCTATTCAATTCATTTGTTTCCGTAGTCTTTCCACCCTCTTCTTCCGGTTTTCTTTTTACCCCAATACCAATTATCAAAACGTCACAATGCCTACAATATGGACCCTCGGGTTTTTTGCGCGAGGGCTTTTCCTCGCTGGGTGATAAGCTCAGCTGCGAACACGAAAAGGGCTGTTTTTGGTAAATGTCAGATGACGTATGACTCCTTGGAGCTATAGAATTACTTAAACTATCTCCACCTGGAGTTGTCAATGAGTTGGTCGCCATAAACCCTTTGGTAGCAAAGCCTTTTCCTGCAGGCTCAATAACAATGTCCGAGTGCCTGGGTGGAGAACAACCGATCAATTCTGCCACTGATGCTACAGTTTCTGTGACTCTTTGCTCAGATGTAGGCGACAGAGTTAGTGTCACATTTATACTATCCAAATCGTCAGTATCATTCCCAAGCCTTGACGAGTGGTGCGCTTCTAATTTACACGTAGTTTGCACAAAACTGCCTTCCGGAAAATTGCCACAAGATTGACCGCATGAAGCTCGGTTATCAAGATAGTGCTCCACCTGCTCGCGTTTGATTGCCACTGCCGGGAATGTTGGAGAGTCGGTGCTGTCACGATGCACCAGTGCTGAAAACTGAGGGGTCTGAACTCTGTTGACCGCGTCTGACTCTGGAGATGAAGACGCTATGTATTGAACTGGTTCAGGTGAGGTCGAGGAAGAACTACTGTGAGACTCTTTACCATTGGCTTCTGCGTGCTCTCCGGGGAGATGTCCTCCAGATGATATTATTTCAACTAATCGATCGCTAACGGTTGCTGCTGAATCTGAGAGCGGCGGAGTGGGCATCGACGGAGGAACACTGACGCCACCTTTACTAGTTTCTAAGGCGCCCGTATACCGAGCTCGTTTGGCTTGATGTTCACTATCACGGCTGCTTGCTGATGGTTTGCTTAAATGAGGCAATTCGGCTCCATCGCGTTCTTCGGGCGAAGCATCTCCATTAACAAGAGGTTTTCCACTAGAATCTGTCCGGTGTTGATGAATTCCTGGTGATGGCGGAAGAGATGACGGTGGGGTGGGTGGATGTCCCACCACAATGTCCATGTCAGATGATGGAAACTGCGCATAATAATCCACCATGCCATCCACTTTAGCAGATCCAAAATTTCCTTTTAGGAGACACTGCCCATTGAAAGCCCTGCTACCATATGGATGTGTTAAAGCATGGGTCAAAAGCAACTTCGGTTCACAAAGGGAAAGTGGTGTGGCTGGTTTGAGATCCCTGTGTGCGTTATTAGGAGTGGAAATCTTCAAGGAGTTGGTAGCATTGTTCTCGATGTCCGTCTTCTGTTTGTTGCGGCTGTTTGCATTGATGTATATCCTCTGCCTCTTCCTCTGCTCTCTTATCATCTGTTTCTGGATACGAAGTTCTTTCTGGAGCTCACGTTTCTTCTTTTGTTGTTCCTCGTACTCACGTTTCTTCCGCTCATATTCTTGCCTACGCAGCTCCTGAAGCTTTTTCTTCATGGGGTCTTCTTCCTTCGGCTGTGGTCTCCTCTTTACCGGGCCCTCTCCGCTGGAGTGCGAATTCTTTGACCGACTCGACGGCTTAGGTGTTTTTGCAGGTTTCTCACCATTCGCTGGACGAGCAGGGTTTGATGGGATATGTCCCTGTTGTTGGTTACTCTGATAATGGTCGAGAGCTTGGGGTATCTGTCCTACTGTTCCATGCAGAGCCTCAGGGCCAATAGCACTCGCTACATTTGCTATTTGTTGGGGTAACGGTTCTAGGCTGTTCACGGGGGCAGCGCAGTTAATTTGCTCTGCCACAGGTCTATGCTCACCACCTGAAGCTAAAGGTATCTCACCATTACTAGTGACGACAGGTGCCACATCATTTACTAAGGGAACAGCATGAGTAGTCTTGACTGGAGATGCGACACTTTCGATGGTCTCGCAAGTGGATGGAATTAATTCAGGGACAGCTGTCTCAATTCTTTGATTGGTTAACGAATCATCGTATTTATTAACATCAGCAACACGCGAGACACCCGCTTGTTCGCTTGGTGTCGGATTTTGTTCTGTTTCCCGTGGTTGGGTGTCTTGGACAGCACTGGTTGTTTCGTGCAACATATCGTGCCTAGGTTCTTCAACAACCTTTTCTTGATCGGCTGCTGGATGAGCATTACTTGAGATACGATCTAACTTTTCGTCTTCATTCGTGTTTGTAACATTACAGGCAGTTAGTTTACTTGAATCTGAAGGAGTCAGCCCTACTTCTTCTGCCTCATGTTCTTTTCCTGCCGCACGTTTCCCCAAATCCGTAATTTTGTTGCCTCCAACCGCTGGTTCACTGGAAGCAGATTCAGCGAAAAATGTCTGACGTTCCTTTCGTCTTTCCGTTTCCTCAAGCAGAGGTGAAATAAGGCTCTCTTCGTGACACTCCAGAGACGCTACAGAATTCGCCTGAGAACCATTGTCCACAGCTTTAATTGGAGATAACAAACACTGCTCAAACTGAGTTTCTTCTTCCATGAAGTCTCGTTCGTAGATCCTGTCCATTTCCGGATCATAGACATCGTCATCCAAAGGCAAATGGATCCGTTCCAATTCACTCTGCTTTTCCAGCTCCTTACAGGCTTCCTCCTCGGTTGCCATGTCTGCAACCATTGACTCAAGTTTTTGTAATGCTTCAAGTCCAGTCCCATTGCATGGTTGTTTACTCTTATCAGCAGACTCACTAGAATCGTTTCGTGCGGAAGCTGGAGTTTCGCCGTCTGTAGTATTCATCTTCTCGTTCAACATATTGGCATCACTTTCTTCATTCCTTGCAGATGGCGCATTACAACTATTGCTCTCGCTGCTGGCTGAAAGAGAGTTCATTTCGATACATTGCCCTGTAAATACTTCCTCTGTAGGTTGTTCTTTCACCTCCTGCACTGCAGGACCTTGGTCTTCATCTTTACCATCAGGACCTTCATCTGCATCAGCACCAGTGGGGCCAGTATATCCGGCACTTTGTTGAGCGTCTGGCGTTAGAGGAACAGATCCTTCGGATTCCAGCATTTCCTGCTTTATAACTTGCGCTTGCTGAGATAGAGTGAGGCCCAAGCCCTGAGGATTTTGCTCTGATGAAGAAGAATTAGTCTGTTGCTGTTGTTGGAGATCCACCTCTGGGAGAACATCAACTTCTGCTGTCTTCTTGCTGCGAGGTTTTCCGGGCTTTCTGGTGCCAGGTGTTTTCTTTGCTCCCCCTCTGCCCCGACCTTTGCTTTGTAGCCCCTGAAACTGATCACTGAAGGGGTTGTTTGCTTCAGCAACGTAACGAACTTCTAGTTGCTTTTGATGGATCGGGTGTTTACCAAATTGCTGAAGATAATGCTCAGGCGTTGGGAACCTCTGTGAAAAAGAATTTTGATCTGTAGTATGGGGATATCCTGGAGGAACCTGAGCACTGGAGGATAGGGGCATCTGAGGTCCTGGTGTACCAGGTGGGAAAGCAACTTGCGAATCAGGTCCTGGTCGTGGCCCTTGCGAAAGCTCTGGTGTGTGTGACAAAGATCGCATTGGATGGGCACCATCAATGGATGGCTGTGCTAACATTCCTGGGTGTTCAACTATGTTTTGCTGAAGAGGCACTTGCGGCTGTTGCCCAGGTTGTTGTAACGGCATTGTAGGTTGTACACCTTGCTGTTGACCCTGTTCAACAAAAACTCCTTGATTCTGCTGCATCAACCGATGCCGCTGTTCCATCTGTTGGTATATTTGTTGCTGGAGCACTTGCTGTTGACGTTCAAGATCTGGATCATTGGCTTGCGGTTCTGACTTCTTAGATTTCCTCTGTCGTGGTTTCGACTGTTTTCCCTTTGGTGGCTGCCAATCAATGGCAGGGCTTTGCTGTCCAATCGGGGATGGCTGAGGTGTGTCCCTACTTTTGGACCTCGACCTCGACCTCGACCTTGGTTTCTGTGCGGGTCCCTGGAAAAAAATAAAAAACTTTTTTAAAAATAATAATAAATAAATAAATAAA